GGGGGCAGAGGACTGTGGTGCATTTGGGGGAACACTATAAAAACTTTCTGGACCCTATAAGCATCTGACCTGGATTTTTGGACTGAATTTCCAAGTACTAATCTTAAAATGAGGATTATATATATATTTTTTCCTATTCATTTTGCCTAAGGCACTTGGCCTAAAGACCATAACGAAGAACTACTGAAAGTAGCTGAATGAGAATGTAGGTCAGGTGCTTTGGGAGATTTCAAATATATATACATCACATTATGTTTATATATGGAGAGAACACATAAATGCATATTTATATACTTAAAGATATAAATATATATAAATATATCATACTTGATGTTATAGGTTAATTCTCTTTATATAGAGAGAGCTAACCATTGACTCTTGTGACGACATTAGACATAATTTAAACAAATAGTATTTCTAGGATCTGTGCTAATTGGTGAAGGGAGTGGGGAGTAGGGAAGGAGAAAGAAGGAAATGAATAGCTGGTTAGTTTTACAGCAACTTACAGGTAAAAGCTGGTTAGTTTTACAGCAATTTACAGGTAAAAGCCACAGCTGAGCTCATTTGCATGGTCCTCTGTGCAGCCCCAAATCCATCCCAGCAAAACCAACCTCAGAGCAACGCAACCCAAACATCCAACAGCCTTCCTGATGTCACTGGATGCCACGTTTCCTGTCATCACATTCCACATTCTCTTCTGTTGCTAGGTACCCTGGGCACTCTTAATTTCCAGAGCTCCAGGTGCCGTTTTTTCCTTGGTCCTCAAACACAGAGTTCTTAGTTCCAGTGCTATGGTACCCAGGCTGAAACTTGAGAGAAGCACCAGCGTTCTGGGCATGTGAACCTAAAGGCCACTGTACCCTTTGTATAGAGTACACAACACTGTACCCTTTGTATAGAGGCTCGCTACCCACACACCAGCAGCCACTTAGGATGGAGCAAATGATCTTGGGTAAGGAAGCAGATTTCCCCTTTGAAGTAATAAGCAGGTATGAGTTGGTTATCATAAACAGGAGTCTGAGATGGGTGGTTTCAAATTCTGAAAAAGTATCTTTAAGGAAGAGGAAATAAAAATCGTTAACAGGGTTGTGAGAAACCAGACAATAAAAAACGGTTCATTTAGCTTCAGTTTAATGTCTGCTCACTCTTGATTTCTGTATTTTTCTAATATAGACCTCAAAAACTCTGTTTTAAATTATAATTTATAAAATAGTGGCATGTGACATTACTGGTTCTTTTACCATTTAAATGATAAAATATGTGAATATATAAATTTCATACAAATAAGTAAATCATTCATTTGTTCTTGAGAAAACATACTGATTTACTCACGAATGAAATATGGAAAGCTGTAGAATTTAGTTACCTTGGTAACATCTGGAGTGAACTACTCTGTCTAAAAATACTTTCTCCTTTATTGTTTATACTTTATACCAAAATTATAAATACATGACTTTTATTAAATATTCTCCTGATAGATCATAATGTTTATCTTATTTAAAATGTGAGTAAATGGTACGATAGTTACTAAATATGTATGACGATTTCAGGCTGAAGACACAGTGTACTATTTTAAAATTTTAGCTATGATAGACATTGGTTTTGTTTCATGCTAGCATAGATTTTTTTTTTTAAGATTTATTTATTTATTTATTTGAGAGAGAGAGAGAGAGAGAGAATGAGCAAGAGAGCACAAACGGGGAGGAATAGAGAGAGAGGGAGAAGCAGGTTTCTTCTGTTTGAGCAGGGAGCCTGACAGAGACCTGGGACCCCATCTCAGGACCCTGAGATCATGACCTGAGCCAAAGGTAGATGCTTAACTGACTGAACCATGCAGGCACTCCTAGATTAGGTTTTAAAATGTAATATACCTTCAGAGTTATTCACTCTTTCAACATATTGATAAAATTTTTTTACACAAAATGTTTAGCATTTTTTAAGGGATTCTAGTACACAAATGTTAAATCACACTTTTCTTCATGAATTTGATAATTGGCCTAAAATATATCCATTGTGCTTCTCTTTGGATTTCTGTGTTAAGAAATAACTTAAATAATCAGAAATGACCTTGCATACTTTAGCATTGGATCTGACTTCACATAAAGGACATGCGCAATTTTCTGAATTACTTAGATATATTATTCCCTGAATTTTTTATTTCAAAAACCTTATATATTTCATGATTAAAAGAATGTTTTTGATTTCTCAGTAACTATGGGAAGTGCCATGTCATATTCTTTATGACTGAGTTTCTCTAAATTCTCTTATGTTTGTTTTCTTTCTACATGAAGTCTTTTGTTGAATGGGGATGAAAAGGAGTAATTTATGAATAGAATCTTGCCATTTGTGTTATGCCCCAATAATGGGTCCGTGATTAAAGGAGTGAGACTGATACAAAGCGAAGGTCAAGCAAAGCTTTATTTTGCTCCAAGCATCAAGAATCAAACTGACAGGCCAGGGCCGAGCCTATTACAGAGAGGGTGACCCTTCTCTGTTTCCCAGATTAGCTTTTAAGGGCAAAGGCCATGCGGTCGGGCCTGGCCACGCACAAGTGGCCAATGAGATTGTAACACACACAGGAAACTCCACAGTGATACTAGGTGACCAATTGAATTACAATTTATCCTAATAGGCATTTGAACCAGCCTATCACACCTTGGTTAGGATTGGCACCAAAAAGGCTCCCAAAGGGCGGGGCCCATACTCCTTGGTAGCTAGGAAGACAGGATGCATCCCCCCACCACTGATCAGATGTCTCCACCTGGTCTGACCCACCCTTGTATCTGTGCTTTGTTACCTGGAGCTGGTTTCCAGGACTTGTTTTTAAGTAAATCCCCTGGGGGGAAGGGGAGCCGGGACAGTTTAAGGGTTAAACAAGGTTTTTGTTTAACTTTAATGAAAGCCTCTTGCTAAATAGGTCCTCACAATTTGAATACATTTTAACTTTTTCACAAAATAGTTTTAAAATATTAAATTTTTAAAATTTAAGTTTTTAAATTATTATTTTACTGAAAATTAAGCTTGGTGTCCTTTGTTTTCATTTTCCCTTGGAGCTGGAGATCTGGGCTTCCTCTTGGACCCACATCTGTCCTACTCTCAGTCTTACCTGTTCTTTTCTTATGATGATTCGATCCCTTCCTGTTCTACACTACTGCTGTTTTGATTCAGGCTTTCAACAATGCTGATTCAGATGGCTTCTAGAGCTCTTAATGGTTTCCCATTTTGTCACCTTTATCCCATTCTCCTCATCAGTCAGAGTAATCTCTTTAAAAAAATTTTTTTTCCATATCATTTCTGACAATAAAATTGATCCTATTCACGCTCAAGGTCCAAGCCAAGCTCTTCATCCTCTGCCTCCCTATCTAGGTTTCCCTTTCTGATTCTATTTACAGTCAGCACCCCAACCTTATTTCTCATCCACCCTGTACTTCCCTTCCTCAGAGATGTTGCACCTGCTGATACCCAAGTGTGAAAGGATCTCCGCCAGCTTCTTCACTGGTTAAGTCTTACTCATCTTTTGAAATTTGGCTCATATGCCACCTTCTTTAGGAAAACTTCTGTGATGCCTTTACCGACCTTGTTTTGGATCAAAACCTTTTTTCCTCTGCATTTTAGTTGCATGTTTTATTTTGCCCCCATCTCTTTTAGTTATTTGTGAACTCGCTGAAGGTAGAGACTCTGTTGGCCAAATTATTTAACCGCCTTTTGGCCTAAAGTTGGTATTCAATAAATGTTGAATAAATAAATGAACAGGTGAGTTATACCACTCCTTCAGAATTTAAATATTATTTTTAGCATTAAATATTTCATTGCATCCTATAAAAATAAAGCAAACTTGAGAATGTTCAGAATCAAATATTACTTGGGCGCACTCATATTTGTATCGCTTCAAGAGCCCTTAACTAAAGGAAACAACACCTTTGTCCTTCATAATCCTTTGAAATTAATATAAAGATGAAATTAAGAGAAATAGGATTTTTGTTGCATGTAAATTTTGTTTCTTACTCTAATTGTTATTGATGTGTATTTCTAAACAAGCTTATTATTTATTTTAAAGCCAGAAAATTTTGACTGATTTTGTTTCTTCCCTTTCTTCCCTGTTTAGCTTTTTATTTTTTATTCCTAGTTATTTTATTTTTTATTAGAAAATTATATATGTTGTAAATAATAGAGTATTTAAAAATATAGTACCATTCCAGTTAAGAAGAAATTAATATCAATATTTTAGGCTACATTTTTTTTACTCATCTTCCTCTATAAGGATATATGTTTTCTTTTCAGAAAATTGGTATCATTTGTCCATTTTTGAAGCTAGCTTTTTCCATTTAACACTTCACACTTCCCATTAATATTAATGGAAAAAGATTCCACATTTCCCATATTCTAATCATCCCAACATATATTAAGCCAGTTTTTTACTTTTGGTAATTTTTGTCACTTCTGAATATTTGCTATTGTAAACGACACTGGTATAAAAGCTTTTTTACCTGCACAGAAATGAATTCAATGATGATACTCCTTAAACTTAGAGGTCCCAGAAGTGTAATGACTATAGCGGAAGGTGTGAGCACTTTTAATGTTTTAGATGCATATTAAACACTCATAAAGCTTGAACCAACATACACCCCACTAGCAGAACAGACATTGCTTTTATCAGAGAATTTTCACCAAATCTGGATATTCTCACTAGAAAAACAAAAACTATCTACAAAATAATTAATGAGCTTCTCTTTGTTTCAATTTGCTTTTCTTCGTGATTGCTTTTGAGATTGAACCGTTTTCCCTATTTTATCTTCTTATTATTTTACTTCACTTCTTTTGCCTAAATGTGCCTACTAGATTACACATAACAATGGCTGCTTCACAAGTTTATTTGCAAAGATAAATTACACAGGATATGTAACGTTACCTCGATGCCAAGCACATAGCAGGAGCTCAGTGAATGTTGAAGTAGTAACTGAATGGCACATTAATTAAAATTGAACTATTCTTTCCAACAGATGATTCTGCTGCAGAGAGTTTTAACGGCAATGAGACTCTGGGGCACAGTTCAGTTGCTTCAGGGGGAACACACGGCAGGGAGATGGGTGACTCCAATGGTGATGGCAAAACTGGGCTGGAGCAGGAGGAACAGCCACTGAACTTGAGTGACAGCCCCCTCTCAGCACAGCTGACTTCGGAATACAGAATAGATGACCACAGCAGTAATGGAAAAAACAAATATAAGAACCTTTTAATCTCTGACCTCAAGATGGAACGAGAGGCGAGAGAAAATGGAAGCAAGGTAAGGTCACATTACAATTTTCAGAGTTTCTGAGTTTGTGATGAAGGTCATGAAGAAATACGTATTTATATGAAAGATGAAGATTATTTTTGCTAAAAATATTTTAAACAAATCCCAATGATATGTTGCCAACTATAGATATCCTTTGTCCAAATAAGCAATAATTTTCAGGAATAATAGTGAGCAAAATGGATAGTTTTTCCATTGTGTGTTGGTATGTGTGTGTTTTTTTTTTTATATTTAAGTTAAATTAGCCAACATATAGTACATCATTCATTTTGGATGTAGAGTTCAATAATTCATCAGTTGCATATAACATCCAGTGTTCATCACATCACATGCCTTCCTTAATTCCTATCACGTGTGTTTTTATACATGAAATCACTTGATATAATGTTTCTCCTTTATGTAGTCTTCTTATGGCTGTGTCTCTGGGAGTTTGTTGAGCTCAGATGTCAAAGTTTAGCTCTCAGAACACAATTATGGACTCTAAAAAGATCACTATCTAGTTTTTACTAGATTGGACAGGTGTACGTACAAATAAAGTTTCAATTAGACTCTCAAGTTTTCTTTAGAGACCCAGGGAGTTTGGTCAGTAATTTACTCCCCATACCTGGGAGAAATGTGTCGGTGTTCTAGATGAAGCATGTAGATTAAATAACTACTGCGACAAGTAATTTATCACAAACTGTATTCTACAAAAGATAGAACTGTGTTTCAGACATATCTATATTTCTAGATTCTTTATATTAGAATAAATTTCAATCCTTCCCATTCCCAATTGATTCATTTTTTAAAATTTTTTGATCCTTCTCTTTTGATCTCTATCTTCACATCCAGTTTCAGAAATACTGCCAATTCTTCTTTTGTTTTCATTTAAAGTCTAGTTAACATACAGTGTAGTATAGTCCCAGGTATAATGTGTAGTGATTCAATAGGTCCATGCAACACCTGGTGCTCATCACAAGTGCACTCCTTCATCACCATCATCTATGTAACCCATTCCCCACTCACCTCCCTTCTGGCAACCATCAGTTTGTCCCAACTGACTTAGTAAAAAAACAAACAAACAAACAAACTTCACATTTCTATCGGTTTGAAGTAATGCATGCTGTGATTTTTGTTCCGTAATTTTTGAAGGTATACTTTTGAATACAGGAAGATTTATATGGAATATACATTTTGACTTCCTCCCCCCCCACCCCCACTTCTAAATTAGAATCAAAGAACTGATCTTTTGATAAAGCTCTTAAAGCAAAATGTCTTAATTTGAATTAATTTCTGAATTTGCTGAGGCACTGTACTTCCTAAATTGGCTCTATTTAAATCCTCTTGCTTGCCTGAGGGTATGTTGTTTTATCCTCTTTTAAGCAAGTCACTGACATCATCAGACACTTAAGCACTTCTGCCTGAGGGAAGCTGCTACAACTTTTGCTGGGGTAAATGCGCAAATATTCTCTCCAGTGGTTTAAAGCCAAATCACACAAGCACAAACAATTTTTATTCACTAACATGATCTGAATCGAGGTTACATTTTATGGAACGAAATAACTTTTTTTTTTTTTAAGATTTTATTTATTTATTTGGAATGAAATAACTTTTAAGTGCTCTGGCCATCCACATTGTCCATCTGGTCTTTATAAACGTCTTTTTTATGCTATGTATCTGTTGAGTATTTTTCTAAAATTATGCACTAGTTTGCTCTTCTCTATCCCCGTATTCATTATAATGATAGGAGCTATGCTCATTTGAAACACAGTGTTGCACAGAGTGAAGTTACTTTTCTGCTCTATTTAAGATGAAGTTGTAAAAAGTTCAGATTGGGCTGTATGTGAGGAATAAGATGAGAAATGGGCTTAGGGAAGAAACATCCCCAAGGAACCAAACATTTAAAGGTTTGGTAAAGGAAGAATAGCTTCCAGAGCTGATTGGGGAGTAGCCAGAGACACGGAAGAAAGATCAGAAGGGTATAGTGTATGGAAGCTAAGTGTAGTCTACCTTTCACGAAAGAAAGTGGTCAGCTCTGAGGCACAGTGCTGATGTACCAAGTAAGATAAAGATAGAAAATAGTTGAGTCGGTGAGAATAGATTTAGAGCACTTTCGGAATAGAATCCAGAGCGATTCTTTATTCATTCCTTCAAGGAATATAATAAAATAATATATTGAATACCTGTCATATTTGCACTAATGAAGTAGCAGACACAACTCAGAGAGGAGTCTTTATTCATAAGAACTTCGATAAATCGTTTTGGTAAAAAGGGGGACATATACATAGAAAACATTCTTAGTTATAAGTATAGGTAAATATCCATTCCTGTGTTAAAACATTGGGAGTTCAAAGTAAGAAAATACTATTTCTATTGGAGTAATGAAGAGGGCTTCCTGGAGGAAGTGAGTCTTGAACATTGAAGGACATGTAAGATTACCATTTTTTTTTCCAGAAGGGGTCTCCTTTTGGATATTGTGAAGGGCCTGGAATACACAGGGAAGATGAGTTGGTCTCATAGGTTAGGGAAGCATTGTCTATTTGGAACTAGGTAGGACTTCATAACACGGTATTTGAGGAAGAACCCAATATTGTTATGCAATATAGAATATTTGCCACCCATTAATTTACTCACTAAATATTTACTTACAGACTCCTACATGAAGGCACTGTTATAGAAAGCAAAAACATGGAAAGAAGCAAACTGGGGGCCCAGCCCCTCAAAAGCTCAACAAGCAGGAGAGAAAGGCAAATCCATGATTATAATCTGATTCCATAAGTAAAATGATGGGCAAATGACAAGGTGAAATGAGAAAAGAAAGGTGGGGCACCCGTGGGACTATAATGATTCTTAAAGGAAGACTTTATAGAACAATTAATGCCAGCATGAATCTGAAGTGTAAGTCGAGTTTATTCAGATGGAGGAGATTATTTATGGTAGAGCATGTGTGGAGCCATAGAGCCAGGAGAGAGCACACTGGGCATGGCAATTTGCAAGCTTAGCATGGCCATAGCAGAGAATATGGTGGAGAAATGGAGTATAGAGAGTTTCCATCAGCAAAGACTTCATGGGTCAGTTCAAGGACTTTGGATTGCATCCCATAGACAAGTTTACCATGATAAGGTTTTGGTCAGCTTGCAATTTTAGAAAGATTATTCTGGCTACATTGGAGCAGATAGATATGAACTAGGGACAGATAAATAGGGACTAGGAAATAGAAAAAAGACATAAAACTGGTTAGACAGCTGTTGTGGCATTCCAGGAAGAAAATAATGCAGGAATACAAAAAAAAAATGAACCTATTACTTTTGTTCTTTTGATATTGTATTTGTGGAATAGATAGCTTGATAGATTTTATATAACCAGACTCCTAGGAATGTTTTTCACATACAGTACAGTACAAATACCTCTTTATACATTCCCATTAGGATGTAAATTCTATAAGAATGATATCTACCTTGATTACTGAGGTATGTCTAGCACCTGGCTTAATATGGGTACATAGTAGGTTCTCAAATATTTCGAAATAAAATTTTAACACAAATGTGGGAAGTGAAGCAGAAAGCATTCTGGAATGACTCCAGCCTAAATGGCTAGAGTTTGACTCTAGATTGACTAGGTGGATGGTGACACCATTTTCCAAGATTCAGAATGAGAAATATTTGAAGAAGCAGTTTTTTGATATATAAGGTTTACCATGCTTGTGCGGTACTAATGAGATATGTTTCATAGGCATCAGGGATATATGTGTCAGCTCAGAATAAATATTCATACTGAAGAAAAAAACTTGTGGAAGGTTTAGACGTGCAGCTTAAAGCTGTTGTGGTTGTTAAGATCACTTCAGAAGATCATAGACTGAGGAGACAAGAGTCAAAATATATCACTCTGTAGAAAAATATTGGCCCATCAAGAACGAGTGGCATAAAAGGAGTTTGCGGAAGAAAAGAAAAATGAAGGAGAAAGTTAAGGCAACCATATAAGGAGATGTTTTAGAAGCCAAAGTGTGGGGCATTTCCAAACTGATGTGTAGTTAAATGGAGTAATTCTTAGGTGAAGTGACACAGGTCTAAACCCAGACAATGGTTAGGAGAGTTAATTCTGGGAGTTGGAATTAGAACACATGGCAGAAGAAGGAGCAAAATTAGTGGGGAAGTGGACTGGAGATAGGTATAGAGGCTAGATGGGGAAGCTGAATCATTTTAATTGTGAAGGAGACTATGTCTGGAATTTTGTTTTAGGGATTCTTCTTGCAATGTAAATTTGTATGCAGAGAGCTCTGGGGTTTCCTGGCTTTGGATCAATTCTTGCTTACCCGAGGCTATCAGGTGAACTTCATACTAAAGGTTTAGCACTCGTCTGTTCAGTTAGCACTACCTTTTGTTGTCCTTAGAAATGTTACAACACTTCCGTACACATTTATCAAGTGACCCTACCAATTTCTTCTTCCAGTATTGTTCAGGCTAGCCCCTGTCATAACTTGGAGGAATATAAAAGCTTAATTATATAGTATCTTTGAAAAACTTAGATTTCTGTGAGTTTCATATTGACCTATTTCACGATTTTATTGTGAATAATATCAGACAAAATGATTATAAAGCATTTAAATCTGAACAGTGAATAGAAATGCTTAAAAAGAATAGCTGAGCTGGGCTATGCCATTTACGATTGCTTATTATCATGCAAATTCACTCACTAGACCGGGGAGTCATATTAGCCAATCTAAAGAATAAATAAATTGCATTGAAAGTGCTTAGGTGATATTTATTTTCTACTAGAAGATGGCCACATTTTTAGAGGACGTCTATTAATATTAGAAATCAGAAGAAAGTAGAAATGTTAATTAAAAGCTTAGAAAAGGAGACTCCTGAGGAAGTGTTAAGGAACAAGTTATATAGGAAAAGAAGGGCTGAGAAGACACAAATTTGGATATAAGCATGTTTAAATTTATTAAGTGAGAATAAAAACAAAACTAAATCTAATAGAGGGAAATATGTAACTTAGAAACACTATCA